TTTTTTTTTTTTTTTAAAAAACACTGGGAGGTACAAATCACAAAGTTTCACTGCAAAGCTACATTGTTGGATCATTCAGAGATAGCCAGAAATTAAGATTAAGCTTACTATCTTGTCATGGAAATTCTTAACAAGTTCCACAGCCAGGGTATTTGTGGGGAAGGAGAGGGGGTCCCGGGAGAAGGTAACAGTTATGAAAATTGCTAAACAAGAAGCTCCTAGTTGCATTTCCCACCTGCAGGCCACAGCCATAATGGGGTGGTAGTGAAGAAGGACAATGCCCCTGTTCATTCCTACAGGGCAACATCATTTCCCAGGAGCGTAGGTGTTCCACCCTCTTTGAGTGGCCGGGATCCACACGGGAATCGCAGAGTTTCTCCATTCATCTGGTTTCCATGACCGCAGTGAAAAACTCACAGCCACGATTTATGATGCTTTTGTCTTATCACTTCCCCTTCCAGACCTGGTGCCAGCAGAAAGGGAAGTGGACCTACCGTCTGATATGCTGGATTCTTGAAACATCGTCTCAAACGCCTGGTGGATTTCAGCGAACGAGGGCCTGTCTGAAGGGCTCCACTGCCAGCCTGGAAGAGCAGCGGTGTCAAAACCTTCTAAACCAGCCTCACAAACTTTCATTAAGCTGCACACCACTTCTGGGGAGCCAACCCCACACCATGATTCCTGCTTTAATGAGGCCAGCTACAGTACAGACGCTAGACGCCTGGTTTGAAGCAGCCACAGCACCCACCAAAGCCAACAGGGGCTGTGGCTGCTCTGCAACTTCAGACTAGAAACGGTAAGAAAAAGCCAGAACGGCAGAGCAACGCTTAGTCCCCTCCCACAGCTAAAGGTGGGTGCACAATCCTTTCTTTAGATCCCCAGGACACGTGATGCAACGCCACCCAGCTCCCATTCTTAGGAGGGAATAAACCCGCCTCCGTGACAAGAACGAGCTACTTCAGACCTCTGACATCCTCTTGGGAGAGCCAAGTTTAACATGGGAGCCAAGCGCCTGCACACAAAGCTGCCCCTTCTGCCTGTAACCACATCCCGGGCCTTCTACTGCATCTCTGCAGAGCTCCAGCAGCTTGTCTCTGTGTTTGCGAAGACTCACATGCTCTCATGAGTTCATAGACTTTCTCAGGGCATCCTTCTGGGCGCTCCATGCGATAGTCCTTCTCCAACAGCTCGTACACCTGAGAGAGGTCGATCCCAGGGTATGGGGACATGCCGTATGTCGCAATTTCCCACAGTAGGACGCCAAAGGCTGCAATAAAGAAATCACAAAGCTTAGTCTTGAGGTACTTGTCCTCAAGCCGCAAGTTGGCTTTTGGTGGGTGGCTAAAAGCAACCTTCCCTTGTACTTAGCAAGCCCCCTTCTTTGGGAGGCTCGCACTCCACGCTCCGCAGTAGCTAGGATGCTGCCATAGCATAACAAGTCTCTTTATTGGTGCAGACAAGTCCCCTGTGATATGACAGAGTGGAATTAGACTAATTTTCAGAGTATCTGCTGTCTCCAACCTGAATGCCTTGAGATCCTTCAAGTCCTGTTAAAGGCACAATTAAGAGACTTCACAGTGGATTAGATGAAACTACGTCTCTGCAGCACAGCAGCCTCCCTGCAAATCTGACAGCTCCTCTCACATCCCCCCCCCTTCCCGTTAGGACTCCCATATCCAGACGGTTCAGTTGCTTTGGGTTGCCTGCATTCCTGGAGCATGACAGTCTGCAGGGGGAAAAGCAGTAGTTCCAATACCAGGATGGACTTCACAGTGATGACTGCCAACTAGCTGAGGCATTAGGGTTTGCTAGAAACCGTAACACAAGGTATAATCACTGCTTGCAACTGTCTTCAATATAGATGGGGCATCTGAGTCACAGAACTGTTTAGGGGGGTTGGAAATGAGTGTCAGCCACTAAACTAGGACTCAAGTCTAAAGAACAAACTCAACTCCAGAGCAACAACCGGCACGTAATTAGCTCAGTCATTGGAGTCTGGTTTTAACCTGAAGAGAAAGCAATTACAATCCAGTATAAGTAATGAAATCACATCAATTCACATGGTAACCACCAAGGGCAATCTATGCTAGACATGGCCACAAACAGATCCGCTTGAATACTGTCTGCAGGCAATGAGGTGTGTGCATGCAAACTTCTGAACCCCCAGCCATGGCAGCAAACATCCACGGAAGGCCTGCTCGCTTGATCTTGAGTCACAGTCCAGAATCCTTAAGCCCTGGTCCCACTACGCAGAATCTGGTTACATATTAACATAGCCTTATGTCTTTTATTATATAGCTTCTCCAAATACGTTAAATTAAAACTACACAGAAAATGCCCCAACCACCACTGGAGAACATCACCACCCCTGGTGCTTTGTGACAGCTATTCAACAACACACACATTGCACAGAAAGTTGCACCATTTACCCAATCGTCACAGACTCAAGAATTTTTCCACCATCATTGTAACAGTCAGCTGTATCCCTCAGCAACTCCCACTGCCCCAAATATCAAGTCCTACTTCAAGCAGAGCTTTCAATAACCTGGAAAAGGAGAACAGAAAACCTGAAGATGGACTGAAAGAGGAGGGGGAGCTTAGGGAGTTAGAATGGAGAGAATTTGGCTCTTTTGCAGGGGCCATCAGTCCTATTTTATTAAAGGCTCTTCCGCAGTCACTGCTCAAGTTCTCTTTGGTGTGGACACACAAAGCAACCACACTTGCAGGAAATGATACCCATGTGATTGTTACATCTGCTTGCTCTTGTAGTAGTTTAAAGTGGAGCAAAACTCTAATACCTTTAGGTCTACTTCATCCAGAGATAAAGTTATGGCCACTGGCTCACTGATACCACTATAGGAGAAGGCAGATATAACAGCTGCACCCAAACAAATGGTGCGTGCTCCTGGGTAGCAACCTCCTTGCCCTTTTAAAATGGCTCCAAGTTCAGTCTACCCACAGCCTTCATTTCTCATCTCAGCCAGGGAATTTTACAATTGCATAGTGATACCTGCACCCACACATGTGAAAGAGCCTTGACTCCCACTTTCATCCCAGAAGTAGCTTAGGAAGCCAGTACATTTTCCACCGCACAGTGCCCCAAGGTACTATTCCTGATCTGGGGCTGGCTCAGGCACCCATGACCCTGTAAACACTTCATATTTGGATGTTATTGTGGCGGGCAGGCTACTTCTGCATGTGGGTGTCTGCAGCCTTCTGCCCAGGTTCCCCTTTTATGTCTTCCATTCAAATAAGGACAAAGTCCCACCTTGAAGTGGTAAAACCACCAACTCTTTCTCGAAAATGATTCCTAAACAAAGATGACGAGGAAGAAGAAAGCTATCACCATCATCATCAATGATGGGGTGAATACCTACCCCAGACATCAGACTTGATGGAGAACTTATTGTAAGCAAGACTCTCCGGTGCAGTCCACTTGATTGGGAACTTGGCTCCAGCATGGGCAGTGTACGTATCTCCGGTCATCAGCCTGCTCAGGCCAAAATCTGCCACCTTCACCAAGTGGTTCTCTCCTACTAGGCAGTTTCTGGCAGCAAGATCCCTAAGACAGCAGGCAAGAAGACAAGTACAGATCAGGAAAGGTCTCTGCAACATCTTGCACTGAGCAGAACAAAAGCCGTTATTTGTTACCAAAGGACCCCGAGGCTTGGTGTGTATTTTCTCCAGGGAAATTGAACAAGTACCTCTGTGCGAGAGGGGCAGATTAGTTGTCATTACTACTTAGTGAAGGTGTCATCAGCCTCCTTTTTTGAAAAGAAAAAATTAGAAATCAAAACCTTCTGAAAAAAAGCTCACTTTCAATAAAAGCTGCCACTGCCAGGATAAAAATCATTTTAAACGACAAACTGTCTGAACTTGTCTTGTTTTACTGAAACAATAAGCGTTTAAAGGTCCTTACCATTTTCCCCTTTTTGTTTTTACATTTCACTCAGGCCAGGCAATCAAAATGCCCTAAGTCACTTCCCATGCCATTTCTAGTCAATTTTCCTCCCGGATTACCATGTTTAAATGCTAGCTGCACTAGTTTTTCCAAACATAACAGACCGAACAACAAATACCACAATTGGGCACTTCCACATGCTGCATTCAAGAGGTTTTATCGTAAGTGCAAAGCATCATTTGTAAAGAGCAGGAAAATCTCTGCCCAGTCACAAGCTGAAAGTCTCACATCTCCTTGAGATACGGAGATGCAGACAAACGGCCATACCAGATCGGACCACCAAGTCCATCCAGCCCAGGTGTTTGGCTACGACAGTGGCCAGCACAAGCTGATACAGAGGAAGACTCAACAAATTATGTGAAACTAGTTATGAAATAACCAGCCACAGAGGAGTTGTTCTCCTTTTTCCCTTCAGAAGCTGGAAATTGGTTCTAGTCTTCATATAGGGGAGGAAGGTTATTTCTTTCTAAAGCTCTTCCATGCTGCATCTATATGCTGTTACCATACTGCATGCTCTTCTCAGACCCCATAGTTTTATTTTTTCAGTCTTGCTAGAGTTTGTGGTCTCAATGGTATCTTGGGGCAAGAAGCTCTACAAGTGACTTAGATATGAACAATGAAAGTGTTTCCTGGGATTACATTTCTGAGAAAATATTTAGTTCACTTCTCAGGACTCAGATCTCCTCTTTATTTTGAAAATAAGCCCAGGAAGTCCATCAACTCTGCCACCACCACGGCACGCCAAACTTCCTATTCCTATGGACTTTGATCATGAATGGGGCATCTCATAGTTTCATAGTTTCTAGGATCGGAAGGGACCTGAGCAGATCTAGTCCGACCCCCTGCCATGGCAGGAAAGAGTACTGGGGTCAAACGACCCTGGCAAGGTGTACATCTCACCTCCTCTTAAAGACCCCCAGGGTAGGAGCCAGCATGACTTCTCTTGCAAGTTGGTTCCAGATCCTAGCTGGCCTGACAGTGAAGTCGCGCCTCCTGATATCTAGCCTAAATCTACCCTCTGCCAGCTTGTGACTGCTATTCCTGGTCACTCCTGGTCGTGCTTGGGGGAACAGGGACTCCCCCAGTGCCTGCTGGTCCCCTCGGACTAGTTTGGACAATCAAAGAGAAACCCAACAGTTGCCATGGATGAACCTGTGCTAGCACGATTAAGGCTGTGAGGCACAGCCAAAAGCCCCCAAAGGGGTGATATGGCCAGCATCATATCCAGCCACGTTCGGCTTTCCAACCTAAACCTCCAGATGATCATTACAGTTGGGTTGACTAGCAGCTGTCTTTAGTCTTCCACACCTCTGGAATCATGATCTGGAAACACATGATACAAAATATTCCCACGCGCATCTTCACATAGACTTGGATTTGCAGAAGAAGGGGCAACAACCAACTTATCATTAAGAAAGGGCTGTGTGGAGACTGGCTGCCACATCACTAGCTCACGGGTAATATCTCTCAAAGTGCATCGTGCTTGTAAGAGGATCAGGCACATGAAAATATTTCTACTAATGTTACATTTTGTATAAAGCTTCCAGACTACATCACATCAAATTAGAAACGGATTCTTCCACAAAATAAGAACAGGCATTTACCTCATATCTCAGCAAGATCTGCCTCTGATAGCGGCTCTTCAAAAAGACTCCTGCAGAGCTCAAACTTTAGAAAAATTGCACTAGAGGCCCATTAAAACACTGTGTAATGTTTCTGGCCATCCCCACTCCTCAGTATTGATTCACCATTGTGTGTCTCTATATATAAAACTCTCTCTCATAATCACATTCCTCCTTCTGCCCAATTCATTAAATGAAGTCATAGCCCAGCATTTGAATCTGTGAATGTGAACTGTGACATCACTTGTGAAATAACAGCCCTGGTGGATGTGGGGGTGGCACATTATAAGGAAAAAAAGTTTCTATTTACTTTAGTTATCTGGGCCATTACCAGTAATGGGAGATGAAGTCCTTAAGAAGGCAGAGAAATGAGATTCAGCAGAACATTTCAGAAAGTTCGCTTGCTACAAGCGGAGGCGACTAGATACAACAGGGCAAATCAGAAGTTGGGAAAGCTCAATTTTGTAGCACCACAGTTAGCTTTCCTGACTGACAGGAGAGCTCAAATCAGGTTTGCGTGCAGCATAGGGAATGCATGTTTTACAAGGAACCTCTATGTTTTACACATGAGCCTCATTCATCTCTATGAGGAGACGTGCAGATTTCATACTCCGGCTAATTGGATAGGAAAGGTCAGGCAGTGGCACAGAGAACTTCTTGTATTAAAAAAGAAAACCCAGCAAAAACTCTCAAGTCTTCATCTCGGATGTGTCATTATATTGCTAGGAGGTCATTTCCACAGACAAAGAATGCAAAGCACTAGCCATAATTGCTGCACGTTTAAAGGTCAAAATCCTCCAGATTTTAAGGCTCTGAAGATGTTTAATACACAGATGCATGCAATTCAAGCAATAAAAGAAAACAATCCCCAGAGCAGATGAAACTAGGGTGACAGAAAATGAAAGCACGATGAAAAGGCAGCAGAAGGTGGCTTTACCGTGATTACTAGTATGTATATAACAATGCCAACGGTTTCAAGGAAGAGATCATTACTGCTGAACATTAATGCCAGAGGAGTAACAGGCAATCTATTTGACAAAGAGCCCTGTTTATTTTAGTCACTTGCTTTTAAATCAGCAGGTCAGAACTTAAATGCTACTCTTCATGCACATCAATACCTACCTTCACAATGTGTGCAAGTAAGAAAAAACACCTTAGCTGAAGAGCAGTCCCAAGACTGGCCCCTGTAAAGTATTACCTAACACATGACATCCAACAGCAGCATAAGACATGCCAAGATGTTGAGTTGTGACGTGTAACGCATGTGGATACAATACTGAGATACTCTGAAAGGCATTATGATAACTCAAGGAGTGTGGGAAGGTGCTCTGCATCCTTCCTACCTGTGTATGAAGTTCTTCTTCTCCAGGTACTCCATGGCCGAGGAGATCTGAGTGGCCATATACAGCAGCACCACGGCATTCACCTCCTGCCGGTTACACTCACGCAAATAATCAAGCAGGTTCCCATATGTCATGAACTCAGTGATGATGTAGAATGGAGGCTCTCGTGTACACACCCCTATTGAGGGAAACATTTAAAAACACAATAATTTGCTTCCAGGATGCCTAAGTCTTCGGATTTTGTCCTTCTGGGCAACTTATAAGTGTGTGCTCAGAGGGGTGAAGGATAGGAAAGAGAGACTGTTTCTTAGAAACTAGTTAGTAATCTCTTTTACATTTCCTGCTTTAGGCTATTGCATCTTAAATGCAAGGAAGAATATATCATTAAAAATCTTGTACTACTTTCAGGAATTGTGAATTTTGCCAGAGCGTAAGTGCCTGTATCTAAAGGCTTGGGATGGTAAGCAGCTTAACTGCTCCTTAAACATCCGTATCACTGCACAGGGGTTTAGTTTAAATCCTTCTGCTGGGTATTTATCACTTACCTAATAATTGCACCAAGTTAGGATGCTTGATCTCCTTCATTACCGCAGCTTCTTTCAAGAACTCCTCCACCTCCATGGTGTCCTCCTGCAGCAAAACAGGAGAACTTCAGCAAGCACAATTTGCACGAAGGGAAAACAGATCTCAGCATGTGGACTGAAGAGTAATCACAACCAGACAGCATAAGCCATGACTGCTCCAAGGATCACTGCTCCCTGCTGCAGCCACACCACAGTGCCAGGAAGCTTCAGGGTCTGCTTCTCTGCTCCACTATCATTCTTCTATCCCATCCATTTCTTTGGATACACAAAGGTATTTCCCCCTCTGTCCTGGGCTCCTCTCCTGCAAAATCATCTAGAATTTAGAGGGGAAACATCATCTGTGTGCTCTCATGACAGAAGAAATGGTACTATGGTGACAAGGGGGAAAAATACTAAGACCATCCATATGTGCAAACATCTGAGGCTGCCTTAAGCCGCTGTGCTCCACCACATCCACCATTCGAAAGAGGGAGCACTCATACTGCTGGCTACTCAACTGCAGATAGCAAGTACTCCATAACCAAAGACTCAAGGTTTTAGGGCTTGTATGTTTGTTCCTGGCTTTTAGGGCATCTATACGCATGCTCTGTGGTCAAGGGGGGTGCTTTAATTAGAGTAGCTCCAAGAGTGCCTGCAGCATTACGTGTATTCAGCATCCCACACTTCAAAATGGTGGTGGGGGTGCTTGAATTAAATCTTGTTTGACGAGTTTTAGTTAAAGTGCCCCCACTGCCATTTTGAAGCGTGGGGATGCGGAGTAGATGCAACACAGAGGCTGCTGGAGCGCATTAATTAACACGCTCCAGCAACCACAATTTATCAAGTCTGCTTGGACGTGTGTCAATTACCATGTGTCGGAGCAGATGTCTGGCACGCATATAGGTGCCCTTAGAGTCTAATATGCAAGGTAAAAGCTCTGGGCAGACGTGTCCCTACTAATTATTTATTTAGTACCATAACGTTGCAGGGCATTGCACAAGGCAAAGGAAGATGCCGTCCCTGCTCAGAGGAACAAGTCTTCCTGAACAAGCAGGTGCCGGATGGCCAGAAGGTTGTTTTAAAGTGGTGCAAAAATACAGATATATTCTTAAAAGATAACTCTTCTTTCTACATCACCATTCCCCTTGTTGGTGGATTAATGCTGAAAGGCCACGTGGAAGACATGTTTTAAGGCAGGATTGCAAGAGATTTGCTGCTGCTGGGTGAGGCTGATAACACCAAGCCGGGCTGCTCCCACAGACCCGGCTGGCAGCGTTCTGCACTTAGCGGCGGTAGTCCTATTCAAACAGCTTTACACCATCGTTTGCTGTTCCTTGCCAATTAAATTTGATTGGCAGCTGTAATTTCCTCAATGCTCTTTGTCGATACTACACAGCTGCAAGGCCCTTAAACCATTTCCGTTGGCAAAGGAAATTGGGTTAATAATCTGGGTTTCAAAACTGACCCCAAATACCTAGTTATCTAATGGACAATTTATAAAAACTCTGCCAGGCTCATTCTGTGCAGAAGATTATGATCGGTCCTGTGTGTTAGATCTCTTACCCCTCAATAAAGAGGTCAATGGAACAGAAACAAAGGCAGAGAATTACCATAAGAATGGTGTGTCTGCAAGTCTAATGTTCACAACAGCTCCAGGACTGATCCACCTTCAATCTCCTCCAACAGCAAACCACAGGTAGAGCAGTGAGGCACCCTTTCCTCGTGCAACAGTGCTCCGTCTCCGCTTGGACCTGAAGAGACCACCTCAGGGGATGGGAGCTGCATGATCACTTCAGACCACCAGCCTCTCCGGCACGAATAAGGACGTCATTACAGCAGGACTGATGGACGTAGACTAGACATCTGAGCTGGACTAGGAGCTGGGCTGAGATGATCAGCTCATTTCACATAAGCTATCAAAAAGCCCTCGCATGGCAATTATATTCTGGATTCAGACTAATGATGTGGAAGATTAGGAGGCTTTGTCTTCAGTCACAGATCGCTTCCCCGAGCCATCCAGCACCCAACTAAAATACTGCGTGTTTCTATATTCTCCAATCTGTGTCATATTAGACAACACCAAAATGTAACTGGGGGAACATTTTGGGGGAAATAAATGGGGGAAAAATAAAGAATTTTGCTTGCCCTTAACAATAAATTCTCGTGTTAGCTTGGATGTGTCACAACAAGCGCAACCTGTGGGCATGGGCACACAAACAGCTAACTCACTGTTAAAAGAGGGATGGATTGGGGGGACTTCAGTCCTCTTTCACTGAAGGCTAATTTCATAGATTTCATAGACATTAGGGCTGAAAGAGAACTTGAAGATAATCGAGTCCAGCCCCCTGCCCTGGGCGCAGGAAGTCAGCTGGGGGCAAGGGATCTCAGCAAGATAAATGTCCAAATGTCTCTTAAAGGAGTCCAGAGTAGGTGCTTGCACCTAAGCCACCTCTGTGGTTTGGATGCCACTCATCACAGCATAAGAGGATGCACAGCTACTGCTACCACCTCCTTTTACCCTGTAGTAGCTTTCTGCTATAAGCAGACCCCTTCTTGAGGAATAGCAGTGCTGACTATTTAGTCCAATTACTGCTTGAGAGACAGCTAGAAAGAACAAATGGGATGCAAGCTCGATCTTTCCAAAATGACTATGATCCTCTTATGGCTTTCGTGCTGATATCAAATTGGAAAAGTCAGCCCACTAGCAAGTCTTCTTTCAGTTCCAAAATGCCACTGGCTTTGGAGAGTCAGGGCTCTTAACGTCCTCAAACACACCTGACATGTTCGGTCTTGGTACACTGATTTTCCACTGGAATAGTCTAATGGGAGATTTGCAAACACCAGGCTGAGTAGCGCTGTGTAGTTAAATGCAACTGAAGCATGGAAGTCTCACTTTGGCCCTTGGTTTCTCTCTGCAGAAACTGCTTTGCAAAGACAGCTGCGAGCTACTTCAAGCCTGCTTAAAGGAAACTGAGTGAGAGCTGGGTTCTAGGGAGATGCAAAAAAGGAATGTATTAAGTACTCAGGCTATCAGAAGCACCAAGGAGATATTCCCCCCTCATTTTCCTTGCCTTCATTATTATGTCTCATATACAGATCTGAACTAGAGAGGAAAAGCAAGAGCGCGTCAGAAAATTCTCTCAAAGAAAAATAAAATGAGCCCTCTGGGTTTCTCTGAAGAACCCGCTGAGGACTTGTTTTCCTGAGCCATAGTTGGAATATAAATGTGGTTTTAAAATATTACCCAAAACTTTGAAGAGCATCATAATCCCACCCGTCAGACAGTAGATTGATGGATTTAAGGATGGTGGATTACAACGTGGCTTTTAAGGATGGGTTAGTGTGCATAATTTCACATCCAGGCACTTCTGGAGTCTCTTTTAGGTCGTTCTGACATTTCCCAGCGGAGCCTGCTGCTCCGCGTTACGTTATGAACCATTTTCAGTCATGCTTCTTTAAGTATTTATTTGGCATGTTTGAAGCAGTTATGGCTCACATCAAGGCACCTGCTTCTGATGCACAAACACGGGTTTTTGGCAAGAGGGTTCAGTGCCATTGTTGACAGGGGCCTTTCAAAGCCAAGGTGAAAGCAGCACAATAACTCTTCGGGATGAGAGAAAAACACTTTGAAAATGCCACTTCTCTCTCAAGTGTCACAATAGCAGCAGGTTGGAGAGGGCTGCAATAAGCCCAGTGTTTCAGGAAAACAACCGGCCTCTCATTCTTCCTCTAAATAAGCAGTTCATTGAGCTACTTTAATCCCCATTCTGCAAGGCGGAGAGTTCAAGGACAGGGAGGAGATTTGCACTGCACTTTCCTGCGCAGTGAACTATGATCCCATTTAACGCTAGGTGTCGCCCTCCTCATGCATAAACCAGAAAGGGAATCCGAAATGTTAGACTCTTCTGGATCAAACTGCTGGGGACCAGCAGCTCTTTGAAAAAGCAATTGCCGGGCACAACCGAAAGCCCAGATGAAAAATAGACCAGAACCATGTAGAAACGCAGCACCAGCCAGGATTCAAGCAATGAGCGACGGCAGCTTTTCTCTAGACAGATGAGTCTCAACCAGGGCGATGAGAGATCCTTTGATGGGTGCTGCCAGGTATGAGGAGATGAGCAGATTAAATGCAGGCTCAGAGTGTCCTGGCCTGGTTGCTCCCACATCCCTCTGCAAAGAGGCAAGTGCTGTATTAAATGAGTTCATGTCTGAAACAGAGGGCTGCTCCATTCACAAATGTTATGCTGGGGTGCCATGAGTCTGAAGAGGTTGAGACCCACTGTCCGAGCCCCAGGAAACAGCTTTGTTCTCAGGCATGAAGCCTCTCTGCCAGCGATTCTCAACCAGGGTGTTGCGAGATTCTCACAAGGGTGTTGCAGGGTGCCGGGCAATGTTAGCACTGGTAAGTGTGCAAACACGATTCACAAGGGAAACCCAGAGATTTCAAACAGGAATCCAGTGTTCAAAGCATGCTGACCTGTGGGGGTCTTTGCCACAGAAGATCTGTTCTATTATTTTTTGGTAGTCAAAAGACAAGTGAAAACGAAAAGCCGGTGTTTCCTGAAACATGCCTCGAGTCTAAAAAAGTTGAGAACCACTGCTTTTTGAAATTCTCTTTTTCAGATTTTCCAACCTGAGAAAAGTTTTCATTTGTTCTGTTTCTGCATCACCAGACCACACCAAAACTCAAACAATGAGGACAAGGTATCAAGCAAGTGCAAACAATGAAGCAATCAAATAACACGGACAGAAGGTGTTACAACACTTTGGGGTAGTTTTACCGTGTTAATGAATTAGGCATCACCATGTCTGTGGGGCCCACTGTCCCCACTTCAACAGATGGGGAAAGTGGAGCAGAGAAACTAAACAGTAGAGCCACAAACAGAATTCTGACCCGTTCCTCCTCTCCTAAATCTTTTGACAGTGGATAGCTACACAAAACACTCATTTTCCACCTACACAAGCTTTAGGGACAGGTTTTAGGGACAAACACCACCTGTGGTCACTACATTTAACATGGCTGTTACGAGTTCGAGTATGCCTCAGCCCAATCTCCAATTTTTGCGTTGCCCATGTCACAACCCACAAGATTTCTCAACAATGTGCCAGTTCTGTTCACATCTGAACAACTCATATTTGAAACTAAGACACACACATCCAAAATTTCATCTGGGTTATTGGATATGATAAGATCCTGGGTATGCTACAAGTCAGAATCGCATTGTAAGCAGCTACCCTGAGTTCACTGTAGCTGTTGTATAGACAAAGTCTTTAAAATGAAAATCATCCAGCTTTCACACAAAGGTAAAACAACTGGAAAGGACCAATGAATGCAGTCAACCCACAGGCCTAGATGTTACAAGACCTGCTGCAATATGCAAAAGAAGGATTTCCATTCACTGGTATCATCTAACCTCAGCTGAGGGACAGACAAAGCACAACCCAAGCATTGCTTCTAGCAACAGAACAGTCTCAAATCCGTGCTCCAAGCATTGTAAGGTAAACAGGAATGTTTAAGGCATCTGTTCTTACCTTCAGGGTCTTCACAGCCACAGTGAGGTTATACTTCTTCCAGACTCCTTCATACACTTCTCCGTACTGTCCCCCTCCAAGTTTGTGCTTCATGGTGATGTCAGTTCGCTCAATTTCCCACTTGTCATAGTTTGGAGACACTCCATAAATAGTGGGCTTGTTGCGTTTGGGGGCAGGATAGTGTAGAGTGGTGATAAGCCCATCTGCTACAGTCGAATGGTGATGGACCAGCTCTGCCAAAGTGTTGAAGCGGCTCTCTGACGAGACGTACAGCTGAGGAGCAAGCAGGAGAGAGGTCATTTGCACAAAGCACACTGGATACTGATACAACCCCAGTGACCTGCAGGCTTTGCCTTTTGGTTTCCCAGGTTTATGGGAGGGTTTTAGGGCTCCTAGGTTTCATGTTGCACACCCGCAGGCCTGCAGTCACGTCAGCTCCTTTTGCTTTGAGGTCCTTTCCAACCCTACTTCTTTATGACTCTACGGTTAGCCCTCAAGAGCTAACCAGAGCCTGAGAATGACCAACATACAGATGGGGAATCCTTTGGTGGAGAAGACTGAACAGGCAAAACCCTCAGCCAGAATTGGGACTAACAGCTGCCAAGAGTCTTGAATCACCCTAGAGGTACAGAAAGTGCTCTCTTTCAAAGAAGACCCTGGCCATTTGCAATCACTTTAAGATTCCCATGCCCCCTTTTCAGAAGCAGAGTGGCCATGTCCTGACCAGATTTCTACTTCACTAATGACATTTCACCTTCCTCAATTCTTCCTGAAGTTTCAGGAGGACACTGTTCTCCTAGCAGTTATGCAGTGTTGCAAGGGAGGGCCAAATTGCCCGTGCCATTCCAACCCAGCAATGGGCACAAGACAGTAAGATGCTTTAAGATCTGCCTGGTTAAAAGGTGCTACATACGTGTAAAGTCCTGACCACTGACCAGGAGGCAGCTGGGCCACACTGACACAGAATGCTGTACACACCTTTCTTTTTCTACTCGTAGCAAGCTTCACGTACCATTTTAAAAATGCCACTCAAGTGACCCTACAATAAAACACTCTACATTCCACATCTTTAAATCAAACCCAACCTTCTGCTAGTTGGGCTGGATGCCGGAAACACTCTACATTCCCTGTGTTAAAAATCAAACCCAACCTTTCTACAAGCTGGGCTGGATGCTGGAAACAGTACAGCAACATTATCTTGATAACCTCTAAGGTAAAGAAGGAGAGCGTTTCATTGCACCAGTGTATTGGTCCATGCTCAAAACTGCATGGCCCCACTTATCAACTAGAGGCCACAGCTTTGTCATAGGCCTGACTCACAGAACAGACAACCTAGCAGGAGAAGCACCAGCAGCATGTCTATTAGACAAGGGGACACAGAGGAAGCAAGGAAGATGAAGGGAATCAGATAGCACAAGTTCTCGAATAAAGCCTGGCAACCCCATTGTGCAGGATTTGTACTCGGTGCGGTGAACCCAGGAAGGGGGCAGGGATGAGGACTGGAAATGCCTGTATGTCTCCATGTCAGTTTGGTGGGAGGAAACAAAGGAGAGGAGAGCAGACAGCAGTTGCCCAAACTGAGGAACTCTAATGGTGCAAGAGAGGTCCCCCCCTCACCTGCCTTAAAAAGCCTCCAGAAAAGGAGAGTGCTTAGATGATTAAACGCAGTTTAAATCTTACAGTCTGTCTCAGCAGGCAGACATTGCATGTTCCAGGCCTCCCAGGGTCTGCCTGACGGTCACCATGCAGGGAAGATATACAGTTCAGCCAGACAGGCACAGAGGAAGCCGCAGAGAACCAAAATGTGCGGTCTGCATCGATGTCCCCAGCTCACCACCTGCCTCTGCAGTGGTGTGAGTCACAGTCGATTATGCTGTTACAAGTCCTTTGAGGCTACTGCTTTTTAAGTGAAACCCTGACTAACAAGAGTGCTGTCTTCTGTAAAACCTCTAGGAAACTCAACATCTCTCTGGTATTTGGAGCCTAGAAGATAACTGCTGTAGAAGCACCCTCCTCCGCTGGTGTAGGGCCATCCTCCCTGGCTAAAACCAGCATTTCCTCTGAGGATAACATCCTTTGAAGGGGCGAGAGGGTGGGAGCAGCGCACTGGTGCAGGCATGACTGCAAGCCCTGAACAAAAGCCACAACGATATATATGCGCTCTGGTGAGAACACACTGACTCATGCAGCCAGTCAGGGAAGTCCTGCATCGAACTGCAAGAGAGCCACATTCTCTGCTTTTTGACTTCCCCCACCTTCCTTTGTTCTTGACAAAGCTCAAGAAGGAACTCCCATACCATTACTGCAATGTAAAAACCCTTTTTGGTACAAAAGATGAAAGCACTTGCAGAAAAACGTTCCAGAAGACAGGAAAATAAGCCAACTGAAAAGATGAAAGGCATCACAACATAAGCCAGCTATCTCCTGCGAGCTGCTAGTGGAGCATCCTCAGGGTCGACTAGGGCTTTTAGACCTGCTGGTCCAAGCTAGCACAACCACTGTGTTGCACAGATGGTTATCTGCGAAAACAGCTTCTGCCATCACTCACAGTTTGGACGCTGCACTGACGGGCACAATATAAAGAGCACGCACAGAACATTACATTGTAGTTCAAGATCGCTCCTGCACACTGGGATCCCTTGGGATTAAAAACTAAACAAATCAGGGCTCCTAGACTCACATGGTGTCTGGTGTCTTTTGTCTTATGATTATAAAGCACCACATGAGAACTTCCCCCCGCCCCCATATTCCTGTCTGGCAGATTACAAAGTCCACTTTACAGATCAGCAAAGTGAGGCTCAGATGACTTGTTAAAGGCCTCACAGCAATTCCACAGCAAAGTCGGGTACAGAATCATAGAAAATGGGCTGGAAGGGACCACAGGAGGTCACATCTAGTTCAACCCCCTGTTCAAAGCAGGGACCACCCAACTGTACCATCCCAGCCAAGGCTTTGTCTACCCAGGTCTTAAAACCCTCTAAAACAGAGATTCTACAACCTCACCACCTGTTCCAGTGCTTCACTGCCCTCTTCATGAGAAAGTTTTTCCTAATATCTAACTTAAACTTCCCTTACTGCAACTTGAAACTATTACTCCTTGTAATGCCACCACTGAAAACAGTCCAGCTCCAACCTCCTTGTAACCACGCTTCAGGTAGTTGAAGGCTGTTATTAAATACCCCCTTAATCTTCTCTTCTGCACTCTAAATAAGCCCATTTCCCTCAACCTCTCCTCCTAAGCCATGTGCCCCAGCCCCTGAACCATTTTTGTGGCCCTCCCCTATGGACTTTCTCCACTTTGTCCACATCCTTTCTGTAGTGGGGGGGCCCAGAACTGGACACAGGACTCCAGATGTGGCCTCACCGGTGCCGACTAGAGCAGAGGAATCTGCTGGCAAGGCTCCTACTAACGTAGCCCCACACGGTGTTAGAATCCTGCCCTGCCCTGCCCTGCCCTGCCCTGCCCTCCATTAAGACGTGCTCATATCTCATCACGTTTTAACATGCATAAAACTTCTGATTTGCTGAGCTGATTCCATTGTATTACCGCTTTGCAAACACGGCCTTTCCGATGATTAAACCCTGACAGTCAATCCCAACAGCCTTGCTTCCGATCAGCGCTAATGGAAACCAGAACTGCAATGATGTGTGCAAATCTGCATCTGGCAGTTCTAGTGTGCACCAGAAGAGAATGAAACTACCAGGAGCTATGAGTGGCATGCTACCTATGCAATGCAATGAGCTGTGCAAACAGTCTGCTCAAGCATTCATTGCCATTCCTCAGGCCTCCTTCAGAAAAATGTTAACCCAGCCTTCCTGTCGCACAAATTCCACCAGGAACCATCTGGGGCTGCTAACTGCGCCTGTAGAGACATAATGGATTTTAGTTCATGTGAGACGACAAACTGAGAAAGGGGAAGAGGGTGAGGACAGAAGGGGACCAAAACTAGCTGTTCTAATGACATATTGCTTGGAGACAGGGGGGAAAAAACCAAACCCTCAGGCCACCTGCTTCAAGGGTCTCCAGTCTTTGCTGCATGTGCAAATCAGCTCCCTGCCTGAAGCTTCCTGTCCCCAGGCTGTTTCCCCTTTTCTGCTACAGGCTCTTTGACCTTCTGGGGAAAAGCAGAGTTGCGAGTGGATGAATCTCAGCAGAGGCCAGGGCTGACTCCTTGTTGCCCTCTGATGCATCTTTGTGCTGAAGCCAGTTCATCATCCGCAACTGCAAACACTCAAACAAAATACATAAAACCCACCGCAAGCAAAAAAAAAAAAAAAAAAAGTCCCCAAAAACCATCCAGGATCCAGGAATGGATTTTCGTCGGCTCAACCCACGGGAATGCCAAGAGGGAAGAGAGACAGACTGTATAAAGATAAACTGTCCTGTGGCCCTTTCTGCTGAGAATGACAAGATTTTAAAACCAGCTGGACAATGCTGTTTATTTGGTTTGGTTACTGAATAGGAGGCTTGGCCTCAAGTACTATCAACTCAGGAAACCCGAGCTCTCTGGAGCACGGAAGTGGTTTACCAGAAGGCTAGTTGCCCTGCGCCAGCCAGCCAAGAAGGGACACTTTTATTGCCTTCCTTAAAATAAAGAAGAGGTGGTCGGACTGAAGTGGGAGGTCAAGAGAAAACTCCTGGAGGATTTCTTATTTGTTTAAACTGTTGAACCGGGCCACCGTGGGTTTGATTTCAGTAGAGCTGCAGTTAAAAAGTCACTGTTTGCCTGTGACCCCTTCCCACACCCTTCCATTTTCCTCGGAAAAAAAGCTGTGCTATGCAAGGCATATTTCTGTGCCAAGCAGCAGTTGTTCCACACATTTTTGTAATGCCTCTTTCTCCTGGTGCTGTGTTCACTCAGTCACAGGATATGAGCCCACCAAAGCTATTCATCCTAACTAGCGCTCGCAGATATTAAATTCCTCAGATGGGCTGACTAACGAGACTGAGATGCTGGGGCTGACAAGGCCCAGGGTGCCCAAGGAGCTGAAGGAAAGAGCTTTACCATTCGCTTTTCTTTTTCTAAACTGATGACTTATTGCCCAGCGGTTAATACAACTTGACACCCAGCCGTTCAGACTGGAAGTTGCCTTGCCCAGCGCCATCCTGAATTTCACGTGGCTGGACATGGATACAAGCTCTCTCTTCTAGGCAACGCATCCTCTGCCCTTTCCCCACCATGGTGCTTGGATTTGATATTTCAAACGCTGTCAGCTTCAGGTACATTTAATGAAGCCTGCATGGCAGCATCTATGCTCAGCAATGCCAATTA